GTAGTAGTAGTAGTAGTAGTAGTAGTCGTCGTCGTCGTCGTCGTCGTCGTCGTCGTCGTCGTCGTCGTCGTCGTCGTCGTCGTCGTCGTAGTATGTTGCGGCACCCCCAGGCGCACCCTCGCCGTGACGTGATCGGCGGGGCGTCCCCCCCCCCATCACGCCCGTGACCGGCCCGAATACACGAATGGGCTCCACGGTTTGCCAGGCGAGTTGAGGCGTGATTGTAAGAGGTTCTTGGCGGTCTCTAAGAGCCATCTTGGGCTCTCTTGAGGTCCTCTTGGGGCCCTCTTGGGCTCTTCTGTGGCCTTTTTTGGGCCCTCTTTGGGCCCTTTGGGCGGGTCTGAGAGGTCTCTTGGGGCCGTCTTGGCTCCCGTAGCTCAAAAGGGGGGGTCCTCAATTCAGGCCCACTTCCCCTCGCAGGCGCAAGAATTGCCTCTTGAAGCCTTCTTGGGGCGCTTTTGGGGTGTTCTTGGGCGCTCTTGGGGCTCTCTTGGGACCCTCATGGGCCCCTCTTGGGGCTCTGTTGGGCCGTCTTGGGGCCATCTTGAGGCCTCGGAAGCCCATCAGAAGCGAAAAGGCGAGAACGCACAAATCATTGATTTTCCCACGGTATTGGAGCCATTTCGGCCTCTTGCGGGGGTCCTTGAAAGGGCCCGGAGGGCACTTGAAACCATCTGTGGGCCGACTTGGGACGTCTTCGATGTATGTGGGATGCCATCTTGAGCCATCTTCAGCTATCTTGAGCCATCTTGAAGGCCATCTTGGGCTCTGAGGCCTTTTTGGAGCCATCTTGGGCCATCTTGGGCGCTTTAGCGCCTCGCGGCCTCCCCCTCCCAGGTCCAGGGGAGGGGGTATGGGGGAGGGGTCAAGACACCCACCCGCTCGCAAGCCGTCCAGCTCACTCCCACCCGCTTTCTCAACACATAAGTAACACCCGAGCCTCAGCATGTTCAGCGGTCGTCTTTGGATGGACAGCTACTGGGAACCAACGCCGACACCAGCTGCGCGACGCTTGGGCGAGGTGCGCCACGCGTGCCAGGGGCGCCACGCGCCCCAGGCACCCGTGGGGCCAGCGTGCCAGGCACGCCTGGTGCGCCAGATGCGCCACGTGCTCCGAGTGCGCCAGGTGTACCGCACACTCGAGGCACGCCAGGTGCGCCACGTTCGGGGCACGTGCAAAGTGCGCCGCGCCTGCGTACGTGACAGCACACATCGGGAAACATGTCGGCCCCCACCATCGTTGTCGAAAACCAATGCCCGCTATTGTGTCTGAGGGGCCTGCGCACAGCAGGCCACGCGCCACCACCCCGCCGTCCTTGTTAGAAACCACTTGACAGTGATCGCGGGGTGGCCGCGCATAATCCACATTCAGCCGCGAGGTGCATGTTGTGTTGCTTTTTTCGTCAGGGATGGTAGCCCTGCGCACAGCTGGGAATATGCTGGCACCCCCAACGTCCTTGCCAAACACAATATATCAAGTGCTCGCGTGCCTCACGAACATGACTTAAGACTGTGGCCCACATTGACCTTTTTGTATTGTTTTTTCAGAGGGATTGTGTGTGGGGGCCGCGTTGGGTCGGCCGCGCATGCTCTAAATGTGGAGGCAGAGTGCGTTTTGTATTGTTTTTTGAAAAGGATGGTGGGGGGGTGGCCCGCATAGGGTGTACATACTAAATGGGAACAGTGATCAATCCCTCCCCTGAGCAGGGGGCGGAGGGGTTGTGGAAAGAGAGAAGACAAGACTCGCTAAGCCACCTACGCCCAGAGGGCTGGTGGGATTTTGGCTCGAGTACTTCCGAGAACGCATCCGTGTAGTTGTTTATCACGCTCGGTCTGGAAGCGATGCCGGCCAGGGCCGTAGTGCTCCTGCTGCTTGCGGAGGCCCAGGCTTTCGCATTGGACGCGAGCGGATCCTTCAGGCGCACGCGAGTACCCGTCGGCGAGCACGACGCCAGAGTGCTCGAGGTGTTCCCTGCCCAGGAGAATTGTGGCATGGTCCACAACTCCAAGAAGAGAGTGAGCTCAGTGTGTGGGGGGATCCCGCGGTACCCGCCGCCTCTCGTGAGCATGAGCAACGAGAAGGTGACCGAGTACAAGAGGGCAATGTGCAACACAAACAGCAGTACCGAATTTGCTCAGGAGGACCTCACAGTGACCGTGACAAAGGTATCTGGCGGGGAGACCTGCGTCTACATCCCGAGCAGTAGGGTGGGTCTTTCCACGCACAGAGAGGTGTGGAACAGCACCCACACCATGCTCTTGGGCGATCGGAACGGTAAGGACTTCCTGAGCTCAAAGAGCCGGGAAAGGGCCGCGTCTAGTGATCGAAAGCATGTGGACATCGACGAGGATATAATGATCGTCCCATTCGCGCACTCCAACTCTGTTTACACGCACGCGCTTCTGGACTTCCTCCCACACGCTTATGCCACGGTCGACTGGGTCAAAGCGAAAAACCTGAAGATACTCACGGGCAGCAGTCTCCAGCGGAGACTGCTGCTTGCCACGGGCCTCGACCGCGATTTCGTCGCCACGCCGTCAGCGTCGGAGGACCAGCTGCTTTGCGTGAGGAAGGGTCGGAGTATCCATGTCATGGAGACAACCGTGAAAGACAGCAACGAGTATCCAGTGGCCTTCGGCCCACCCCGCCAGCGTGCCTGGGTTGTCGGTCAGAGTCCCCCTAGATGCCTGTGAGGATTTGTGGGGAGACCTCTCGGAAGTTTGCCGGAAGCGGTTGGGGTGTTCTGGGGCGTCTCGCGGGCCTCTTGGGGGGCCTCTTGGGGGCCTGACTTAGGGCCCCTGGAAGAATACCCGCAGTACGTAATGAAGAGAACTCGAAGGGACCTGGAGAGACTCCAACCCGTGCCTCCGGGGACGGTGGCGGATTACTACCACAGGATCCTGAACCACCGCGGGGTCGGCCAGCGAGTGGCTGCCGCCATGGTCAGCGCGGACGCCGCGTCGCGCCTCCGAGGCTCGCCGAGGGGGCCGGCGGTGGTGTTCCTGGGGCGCTGCAACGCGACCTCGCGCCCCATTCGATGATCCTCAGGACGTGTGTCAGCCCAGTGTGTGTTTGCCCCCTTCAGCCCAACCAGCAGATCATCGCTTCGCCTGCACCGCATCGGAGGTCCTCGATGAACAAACACACTTCGGGGGAAGAGAATTATGCACATGCACCGATCCTGACAACGCCCATCCTTGACCCAGGATCGGTGCATATACCTTCCTGGCCAAGGTAAGAGGGCGTATGCACCGATCCTGGGCTCAGGATGGGCCTGGCCAGAATCGGTGTGTGTGTGTGTGCATAGTTATCTTTCCTCTAACACTTGGAGGCTGACACGCGTCCTGAGGATCATCGACCCATGGACAACGAGGACGACGCGTTCAGGCTGGTGCAGAGCACGATGAAGCAGAAGGAGCCTGTTTTTTCTTAGGGTCCAGCGCTGACCTGGATGACGGGGCCCGCCCCCTCTCAGGAGGGGAAAAAGCACAGAGACACAATTCATCGTCCATTCCCCAGAAAATATAGGAAAATATAGGAAAATATGGGAAGTGGGGGGAAGACAAAAGCCCAGAAAATATGGGAAAATATTGGGAGTCCTGTTATTTGTGTCTATTTATTTTTGTGTCCCAGGGCCCCTTCACGTATGCCCTTGTAACTTCGTCTTTGGAGTGCACTGACGTCGACTAGCGGCTGGTAGTCGATGAGACATCGCCAGTGTGGCGTCGATTTGGCGTCGACTGGTGTCGATTTAGCGCCGATGAGCGCCGATTCGCAAGAGCCCACGAGATGGTGATGGTACAGGAGGCTCCCATGAGCTGCCGCGGAAGGTCCTCGCTGGAAAGCAATGAGTCGGCTCCGAGCGGCGGAAGGAGGAGCTCGTGAGGCTCTGCGGCGAGGCCATGCAGCCCGAGGTGCAGGCGGCCGCGCTGAGCCGGGCCACCGTGGTCATCGGCCCTCACGGCGGGGCGATGGCCAACCTCCTGTACGCGGCTCCCGGAGAAGAGCAAACTGCATAGACATACAGTGGAAACCCATGCCAGGAAGCACCCCGCTTGCCTCCAGGGTGCCCTGGGTGTCTTGGGTTTCGATGGGTTTTGCCGTGGCAGGCGTGACGTGCCCACTCCAAAATCAGTGGGCGTCCTGGGGTCTCCGGGTTGGGTTTCTGTGGAAGGTTTCTTGTGGTCGAGCTCCTATTGTAGACAATTTTTCGGCGCTCTGCCGCCCCCAAAGGGGGCATCACCGCCACCCAGTTCATTCACTGTTACCGCTATCGCGCTGGTAGTAGGTCTCATCGAGGATACTGTAAGAAATCATCGCGGATCTCCGAACTAAAATCAGTGTATGCAGTTTTTTCCTTCTTGTAGGCTCCTGGGTGTTCTACTCACGTCATGCAAGGGGCTTCGCCTTCTGTTCGGGATGATCGAAAACGGGGTTCGGAAGAGGTGGCACGAAAACTGACAACATTTCATGTTCGTTTTGAACAGGACGCGCTGTCGTCTCGGCGGATGTTGTCCATTAGAGGCAAAGGGTAGCCTGCTCAACATCGGCCGCTGTCGGTTTTGGACAACATTTGTTGTTGGGAATCGTAAGCACTTTCTCCGTACCCACCTCGGGCATCCAAATCTGCCGCCGGCCCTCTCTCAAATTTCTTGCGTGGCCATGCCTGATTGGCAGGCCAGCTGGCTTCCTTGTCGGCTGGCTGGCTAGCAACTCGCCTGGCTGGCTTGCTGCGTGAGTCAATGGGGGAACTGGAACCGGAACTGCTGCAGGGAAGAGGAGCACCCAACTGTTCCTCGCAGCCTGCTGGCCCCTGAGAGGGCCGGCGGATAGAGTTTGTACAGTCCACGCCGTTCGTCTCCGCGACCGAGGCCCCCGAGGGCGGGTACAAGTCCTTTTTCTACCACGGCATGGGCGCTCCGTTCGATTACAAGCTCGTCCTCATGGACAAGTCGAACGCCACCGAGCGCTTGAAGGTGCGTCTCGGCGACCTGGCGAC